ACAACAAAGCTCACCATTATGTACAGTTATAATGAACCAATAAAAAATATGGGAATTAAAATAAGGATGTTGATAGGAAGATCTGTTGTTTAAAAAAGATTGTGTGTATATGATTATGTGTGTGTATGCATATATATATGTATATGTATATATACATACACATATGCAGATTATATGTTTTAATAATATATATATTACATATTATATATTTAATCTGATAAGCAGTGCATTCAGGTTTCTGAAGGTACAAACGAATCCACAGTGAGAAGTCATCCTCATCCTCAATCCTGTCCTCCCAGCCAGAGATTTTCTCTCTAGAAACAACAATTTTTACCAGTCTCTTGTATAACTGTGAAGTGACAATTTATAGCTAAATAATTGTATAAATATCCATAAAAACCCATAGAGAGCTGCTTCGTTCATTTTAGTGCCTGTGTGGAATTAGTGTTGCATTATAGAGTTTGATGCTTAAGGTTACATTCCATCATGTGAAATGGAATTCTTGATAGTATGTATTGGTTGATTTAACCTCAGTGTTATTTGTGCTGTTTATCAATGGTATATTAATATTTAACCAGCCCTCTACTGATATTTAAAGTGCTTTCTATTTTATACTGTTTCAAACTGCTAAAAAGAATGTGTTATTTGCATATATATATTTGTAGATAAAAAAAAGATTTCTAGGTTGAAGTGCATGCACATTTGTAATTTCTTATTCTGTGTACTTAAGGTATACAACCAGTATTTTGATAAATGTGTACATAGTGAAATGGGAACTAGAGTCAAGTAAATTAAGATATGTGTCATCTTGCATAGATATGTGTGGTAAGGCTACCTAAAATCTACTCAGCAAATTTCTAATTTGCAGTGTATTATGAACCGTTGTCTCAGGTGGCACGGCCCACCTCTAGAAGTATTCATCCTATATACCTGCGACTTTATACCTTTGATTTAACCTCTGTTTCCTCTTGACCCCTTCCATTTGTAATTTTGATTGACATTGCGAAACTGTCTTCATTTCCATATCCCTCTTTCACCATGTCCTCTGCACTGTTTTATAATTAAATAATATCTCACATTTTTAATTCAAATTTTTAATTTAGATTTAAAAAGTTTTAAACAGTGTCTTTATCAATTTTAAAAATATTTTTTAGTCCCCTAGAGGTGAAAAATACTATCCCATGCAGCTGTAATTTCTATTCCTCTATTTCAGTTAAGGTCTGTCATATTTTTTTTCCCTAAGCTTAGGAGTCATTTGTGTTTCCTCTTCTGTAAGCCTGGTGGTTTTTTATTTTATTTTATTTTAATTTTGTGTTCAGACTCATTCTTTCTTTTTTGGGCAGTGCTGGGATGGAACCCAGGGCCTCAATCATGTAGACAAATGCTAATATCACTGAGCTACTCCCCAGTCTTATTCTTATTGACTGTTGCAGCTCTTTACATTTATAAAAGATCAACTTGTTAGGTTTATAAATTGAAGGATTTCCCATCTGCCACCCCTCCCCCATTTTTTATTATCATCTGTATTTATGGTAAAGTTTGTTGTAAAACTGTAAGTTTTCACTTTTATATGTCAAATATTTCAGACTGGCTTTATGCTATTCACAGGAAGGCTTTCCCCATCTTAAGATCATTGACAGGTTTCCCATGTGTTGTTATAGCTTCACTTTTCACAATGTGAAGCATTTGATTCATCTAGGATTAATAGAGATTAAAGTTGTGTGAGGTGTACAATAATCTTTCTTTTTTGTTTTTGTTTGTTTCAGATGGCTGTCTGGTTTTCTCATATTATTTACTGAACTCACATCTTATCCCTTCATTGCATCACTGATTTCCAGACATATGTATCTTTGACCCATCTCCTGTCTTTGTAATTTGTACCATTGAGATTTCCACAGTGCCTTACCATGTGTATTTAATGTTCGGGAGAGATGATTCCCATCAGTGTTCTTCTTTTTAGAGAGACATCTCACTATTTTTGCACGATTTTACCATGTGGGTTTAGGATCAACTTTTCTAATAACTGCAAATTAGAAAATAATCTATGCTTTTAAAATTAGGAGTGCATTAAATTATATAGACATAATTTAAAGATAACTTGACACATTTTTTTTTACTTTTTAAAATTTTTTTTAAAGTCATTTGGGACTTTGTACATAGAATTTTAACAACACAAGAATTTACTTTTAAAAAAATTGCACATCCATACAACTATAGGACATTAAGCTACAGAACTTGACACATTTTTGATGCTGAGTCTTTTTTTTTAGTCGTATTTAAAAACATGGAGTATCTTTTTAGTGGGCTTGACTTTTGAGTTGCATATTAAAGTTTCATTCATATAACCTTTGCCCATTTCTTATGATTTTCTAAGTATTTTACCCTCTAGCTATTATCTTTTTTTAAAAAAATTATTATTTTTTTTAGTTGGAGGTGGACATAATACCTTTATTTTATTTATTTATATGTGGTGCTGAGGATCGAACCCAGGGCCTCACACATCCTAAGTAAGCACTCTACCACCGAGCCACAACCTCTGCCCCTTTAGCTATTAACTTCTGTTCTAGTTGGTGTATGTAAAGACTATTGTTTCAGCACATTAATTTTCTCCTGTGTATCTTTATAAAATTCTTATATCATTTATAACAGGTTTTTCTCTTGGTACTCTTGCATTTTTCCAAGAAAACAATCATATTATCTGCAAATAATGATAATTCTGTATTCTCCATTACAATTTTGATTTTTCTTTCTTTTCTTCATCTCATGTCTTTGACTAGTGCTATTTAAACGATAACACAAATTAGTAGTAAGAGTAGTAGTGAAGTCTTATCTTGACTTTACAGTAACATTACTAGTCTTTTACGATTTAAAGTAATTTAAAGCATTATCTCTGTCATTTATGTAGGTGTGTGAGTGTGTGTAAAAGAAATAGCCAACTGTTCTCCTTTTTTAAGCAATTGAATGTAAATGTTCTAAAACTCATACACGGTGATAAATGCACCACTCAGTAAAATTACCAGAGATTGAATTTTAAAAGCTGCGAATGATTAAATTTTTGATATATAAAATATATTTTAATAAGAAAGAAAGAATGAACATAGTACTTTATCAAATGCCTTATATGTATCCATGGAGACAATCATATGCTATTTCATTTTTGTTCCATTTATATGGTGAATTGTTTTAATATGATACTTATATTCCAAGAGTGAAGTCCACTTTTTCATAGTATATTGATATTTTTATGTGCTGTTCAAATCTGTTTGCTAATTTAAAAAAATATTCAGTAGTTAATGGATCTTTATTTATTTGTAGGCAGTGCTGAGAATCGAACCCAGTACCTCACACATGCTAGGCAAGTGCTCTACCACTGAGCCACAACCCTAGCCCAATTTGCTAATTTTTTAAATCCAGGATTTATATCAGTATTTAAAGGAGAGATTGGAATGCAGTTTCCCTTTTGTGTGCCTTCTTTGTTGGATGATAGTATCAATATAATACCTCATCTTTTAAATATAAATTTGGAAACTTTCCTTCTTTTATATATGGTTTGGAATAGATTAAATATTACCAGAATCATTCCTTCAAAGTTTTTTACATTTCCCCCTGTGAATCCATTTAGTTCTGTTTCTGTTTATTTGTGCATTTGTTTATGAAAGGATGATCCGAAAAGGGAGATCTTTGACTTGTTTTATCTGTGGTATTAACCTGTTTAAGTTTTTTTTTTTAATTTTTAAATTTATTTTTTAGTAGTAGTTAGACACACTATCTTTATTTATTTATTTTTATGTAGTGCTGAGGCTAGAACCCAAATAACGATAATTATTTGGCCTCACATGTGCTAGGCGAGCTCTCTACTGCTAAGTCACAATCCCAGCCCCTGTTTAAGTTTTTGATGTGTCTTCCCCTATTAGTCAGGATGTAGTTACTTAAGTATATGATCCCTGTTACTTACTGAACATCTTTCATTAATATTGTTGAGACCCTCCTAATACAGGACAGGAAAAGGTGTTCTTTAATTGTTGAGTTACTGTTTTCAAAAGCGGTGGTTCTTTCCCTGGGGTACTTGACATCTACCATTTCCAGATGTGGATTCGGGACTCTTCCATTGTTCTATTGTTGGGGTGGTGATGCTATAAACCACACTGTTTGTTCACCTTGTTCTGCAGATCATCCTTATACACTTGGCTAGTGGACGCCTATTTTCCTGGTGGCATGCTGCAGACATAGTGCTCTTTTTTTTTTTTTTTAATTATTTTTTAGTTGTAGTTAGGCACAATACTTTTATTTATTTTTATGTGGTGCTGAGAATTGAACCTAAGGCCTCACACGTGCTAGGCAAGCGCTCTGCCACAACCTTAGTCACAGTGTTGATTCTTGATAGACACATGATTGGTTTATCTCAGCCTTGGACAGGATAGGTACTCAGTAATTCCAGTGAATAAATATTTAGTGTCTGATATGTGTTCATTTTCAGATTATCTTAGAGACATGTTCCTTGCATATAGAGGAGTTGATATACTGAATTAATAATTATAGTTCAGCTACTTGGGGGGACCAAAAAAGAGAATTGCTGAAGTCTGGGCAACACAGCAAGATCCCAACTTAAAAAAAAAAATTATGGTAAAGGTATGTATTCAGAAGTATTAAAGGGTACAGTTATGTATCCTCTACTAGGGTAGAAGGAATTTGAGACAGATTTTAGATAGAGTTAAAAAGTTCCCCCATCTTTATGTGCTTGGTTTTGCAAATTAATTGAGAAAGCTAAAACGTTTTAGCAGTACTTTTGCTTTTCCATACACTGTGTGTTTGAATTTGGCTAGAAAATACACATTACAGTACCACACAGGTGTGAAACATGATGATGTTGATCTAAATTTACATTATAATGTAAAGAGAAATAGTATTATTCGTTGATAAGAGTATATTGAGGAGTATATATATATATATATATGTATGTTGAAGATTAATTGACCAAATATTCTGTCCTTTTCTCACAGATTTATCTAAAAACAGACTGGTTGAAGTTCCAATGGAATTGTGCCATTTTGTATCACTGGAAATTCTTAATCTGTATCACAATTGTATCAGAGTCATTCCTGAGGCCATCATTAATCTGCAGATGCTGACCTACTTAAACTTGAGGTAGGTTAATTAAATTCAGTGGCGAAATACAACATAATCATGCTTTCATTTCTTTTGTATTTTTCCTCTTTATAACCCGTGATCACTCTTTGAAGTAAATCACACAAAGATCATTGAATAAACATCTTCTGTAATAAATTTGTAGGGACTTTAATTTTGTTCTTGGTGCTAGACTTCCCTGACAAATGTCAATATGACATCTTTTCTTTTTGTTTTGGTTTTTTAAGAATCACATAAGATAGTTTATACTATTTGTCTGATTGATGCTTTTCAGGTTGGTAGGTATATTGTCTTCATACATTCCTGTAGATTTTGGAGAATGAAGGGTAAAGGAAATGAAAAATAATTTGAGAGTTGAGACAAATCAGGGGCAAGGAAAAAAAAAAGGCTTTATTGGTCTTTGGGGACTCTTGGTACCATTGTCCTTGCTGCTTAGTAATGATTGAGCCTGTTCACTTGAAAAAAGTTGAGGAGGAGTACTGAGCTACTGTAACCAGATATAAGGTTTGATGTCTGTAGACATCAATTAGGTCAGTGTTTGCTGAGAATGGTTTGGTAGTCCGTGTTGACTTACTGATTATGCAGAACACAGTAAATCATGTTAATGCCTCTGAAGTTAGGAAAATCAGTTATTTTAAGGCTTTGGTTTTACACTTTGCAGTTGGATGTTCTGATCAGATTCTGGCTCCTTGTCTCCTAAATTCTTGCTTTACATATGGGATTTCAGGAGAGGGAGGAGAGGATTTTTTTTTTTCATCTCTCTCTCGCTTATAAAAATAAGGATAAGTTCTCAGGTTCTAGCCGGATTGTAGCCTTTCTCATGTCAGTTGTATCATCTTGGAGTTTAAAGGATAGCACCTGTTAGCCTTGCTTGTGCTGTGTAACAAATCTACTTTAAAGTTCAAAATTCCCAGTGAACCAGGTATAGTAGTCATTTTATAATAGATAATAATGCCAATGGTTTTTCATTTGGTTTGGTTTGCTTTTTATTTTAGTTACTGAATCATGGATTTTCTATTGCTTTCGTTGCAGTCAAAAAATGGGTTTCTATTACATTTCCCATAAAAGTGCATGCTTTTTTGTCAGAGTTGAAAAAAGCTCTAGACATGTTTATGAATTGTCCTAATTTTGGTAAATAAGAAGTAAGTTATTGGAGATGAAGTTTATTGGATGTATTTATAATTTGGAGTCTTATCTAATCTTTGCTTCTGTAGATTTCTAATTTATCTGATCATTATGAGTTTTCTTGCAATTTCTGCCTCAGCAGGATGTTATCTTGGAATTGCCTGGTGAAGCCAGCATAGTGATGTCTGTAGATTTTGGTTCAGTGTCTCCCCAAGACATTTGGTCCTCTAATCCCAACCCACAGAGGGGAACCATTTCAAAAGCACATTGCAGTTGGTCTGTTTACATGCCCCCTTAAGCTGCATTTTTACTCCTAGAAGCCCTGCATGTAATAGACTTAACCTTGCATTGTATATTAAGTCCAAATGCACTGAGAAGTCTTGGTGGATAGATGACATTTTTTTTCTAGAGTGACACAAACTATAAAATTTAAAAACACAAGATAATTTAAACTTAATGTGTTTTTAAGACATGATAAATGTTTGGTTTTTTTTACTGATAATTTTCATATTGCAGCTAGTTGAGAGTAGAAGATTATTACTGTCTTCAGATCGATAGAATGACTATATTGGAATATGGATCTCAGAATTATTTATGAAAAGACCGGAGAAGAGCTGCAGAAGCATTGACAGAGGAGTCATTGACGATGCCCAAGAAAACTATGTAGTGCATTAGAAACAGAGTTTTATGATAAATCTGTAGGTAATGGAAAAGAGAAAGAAATAAAGGGACAATTCAGCATCCAACTCTTGAAATTTTATTTGTCTTTTTAAAAATTTTTATTATTGGTTGTTCAAAACATTACATAGTTCTTGACATATCATATTTCATACATTTGATTCAAGTGGGTTATGAACTCCCATTTTTACACCATATACAGATTGCAGAATCACATTGGTTACACATTAATTTCATGTTTACTTCTTTCTTTTCCTATTTGTTTTGATAATTTTTGGTTTTGTTCTGCTTTTCTTTGTTCACATTTCCTACTTCTAATGTGACCATATATAAGGCCTTTTCTCTTGTGTAGGATCTTATGTTCTTTGAAGGAATTTGATGACTATTTGGAGAAAAAAATAAGAAAAAGTCTCTCTCTTACATCCCAAATAGATTGTGTAAGGGATATGAAAAAATACATGAATAGCTTCTGAACTTTTTAAAAGCAGATGCTAATTATTTTTGATATCTCCTATAAAATTTACTGCCTGAAAATAAACCTGTAAAGTTAAAATAGTATTAAGGGCAAGCTTTAAAGGAATCAGGAAGATTGTCATTTTGTGTTATTGATTTACATGTGTTTTAATTCCTGGTTGACCACTGCATTTAGTTGAGCCATTTTTTCTCTAGGAATTGGACCTTAAAATTGAGTTATTTCTCAGTTTGGGAGTGATTTGAGATAGAATGCAGTAGAACTCCTGCCTGAAAGATTTATTTGTGACTTCTGAAATAGGAGGCAACTGTCACATCTCTTTACTTGCAAATATGTATTAGTATCTAGGCAATACTGGTGGCATCTGATTAAATTGTTAAGTCTAAGATGTTCGGTAATATCTTCCACATGATAGTATTGTCTGTGAGTTCTTCGGATCCTTACACTGTCACCCTCCCCGCCCCCATCCCAGCTGTCCCCAATCTGGTAACCAGGAGGCGTGCAGAATAACTTGGTACTTGTGTGTGATTGTGACATAAGCCTCCTCCATGACAATTAGGGTTGGTCATTGTGATCCTCTGTGCCCTTCATGAATATTAACAGAATGAAATGTATTTCTTCTTGGGCATGGTGTAGGGTATTGGTGGACTTGGTTAACTTTTGGTCTTTGGGGACAGGCTGCCCATCCTTTTGCTTGAAGAGGAAACAGAGACTCAGGATGCTGCAGGCACACGGTGGAGGAGCTACTGTGTTGCCTTTAATTCATTTTTGTCCCATAATTGTTATATATGGCAAAGAAAGAAGCTTATATTCATGATCAAAGTATATAATCAAAACCTCACATTGTTGTTAATTTAGTTATATTGGGGAAGTCTGAATAAATTGCAAAAACATTAAAGAAGTAACATAAATTATTTTTGAATCCATACTTGTAAGGAAGATTATATCAAAGAAAGCACATCCTGAAAGACCTTTAACAAATAGGCCAACTGATCCAATTCTATAAGAAGCTTGAAATATTTTCTATAGAACTGAAGATTTTCCCTCTTAGTTCTATTAATTAGGAAGAAAGATTTTTTTTTAGATAAAATAGTGCAGAGGCTGCTTTTCCAATTTCCACAGTGTTTCTGTATGTATACTGGGTCTGTTTTTTTGTGGTCCTAAACTCAAACCCAGGACATCTTGCATGCAAAGCACTCTACCACTTGAGCTACCTCTACAACCCCAATCTGTGAACTTAAAATTTCTTTTCACCCAAGAAATCACATGTAGAAACTACTAATTTTGAACATTCCAAGGTACGAGTGATGCATAGAAAGATTTTTTAATTTATTGGAAACATTTGAAGTTGATTATACCCTCTGAGATATCTTGTATTCTAGCAAACAGCCATAAATATTTGATGGTGATGGTGATAATGGTGATGATGATGATAATGAGGAATGGGGATGTCACTGCTTGCTCAATCTTGGCTGACATGCTGTCTCAGAAATGTCATCTGTAAATGTCAAATGGTTGCTTGGTGCCAACAGCTTTATCCCTGTCTTAAGCTAGAGATGGGTTTAATTTGCAACTTAAAAACAATCTTCATCATGAAATGCCATTAAAAACACTTGTTTTCCACATTTTCTCACATAATGGAAATGTTCTATTTGTGGAAAATATTGATTTATTGCTGTTTATGTAGCATGTGTTTAAAGGATGTAGGCTTTTAATCTTTGCTTCTTGGTATTCACAACAAAAAGTTATGTTAGTTTAGTATATGTGCCACTGTGTCTCTTCCTGTTATAAAGTATCTTAATCCAAGAAACACAGCCAAGAGCAATAAAAATGATTAAGCAAGACTGGTTCCTATATAGGAACAAACACTTTGAACCTGAAACCCACAGGAAAGCCTCACAAAGTTTAAAATCTATTTTAAGGCGTTGGAAAGGTTTTTGTTGATGAGTCTCATGAAGAAAATATACCTTAGGACAATAACATGACCCAGAGTAGCAAAACTCTTGGCAACCATTGGCATGTTGTGAATCTAAAATAGGGACCTTGGTTTCAAAGTCTCATCTCAGAGAAGTTCCAAGACAGGGGCTGCCAAAAAATGAAAGTTCGTTACAGAACTTTGGTAAGGTTTTTGCTTTCTGTGGGGGAAACTGGCCCAGCTAGGTCTGGCTTGTTCATGAGAAGCTCCTATCTGTCCCTGCCTGTTGGGACTGGGTTCTGAGACATGGCTTGAGAAGAAGGCAGTTTCTTACACAAACTGTTATCACACCATAAAAGGAATGTGTTTTGGCCGCTTTCTCTGCAGCCTGGTATCCTTTTTGGCTGCTAAACAATGTGCAGAAAGAGCCAACTTCCTGATGGTTGTCTAACCTGTAGGCCCACATTCTTCTGGGACTCATTCTGATAAATAATCTTTAATTCTCAGAATATCACTCACTATTTGAAGGATCCTGCGCATGACGGTTGCTTTAGAAAACACAGGTTTTATGTTTTTGTGTGCTTGTTTTGTTTTTGTGAGCCAAAAATTAATTTTCATTGTTCCCTCTCCCCATGCTGACATTTCTAAAGAAGCTATCCAAGGCAAGATAGCGTTTCTTCTTTCTAGAAAACGAGAAAATTGATGTTGTCTCCTAAACTGGAAAAGGGGGAGGAGTTTTGTTCAGTTCAATACAAACTTATATCCCACATCCTTTTGTGAAGATTTTATCTCATTCAAAGGCAAAATGAG